GTGCAGGTGATGATGCTTATGTGGACTGTTGATTGTATGACCACGAGAGCGGTTTAGAGATGCCTTAGTCAAACCTAGTTAAGAATAAACATTTCAGTTATATTGAACATTTGTTTTACTCTGTATTATTTTGGGATAGCCTGTGCATCCGGTTAAGAGATGACCGGATGTGGCGGTAACACCCATTTCCCAATAAAGACTTCCGCTGTATTTCTGATATTTTCAAATGAAATTGATAACTCCTTTGAAATAAACATTATTTAAATGTATTATTTTGGGAGGGAAATTGGGGGTGTTACAAATTGGTATCAGAGCCTTTGATTTTTTAAATGAGGTTTTCAAATAAAAGTTTTTCCTAAAGTTACTATGGTTTAAAAAAAAAAATTAGTTTCGAACATTATTTTGACTTTCTAAAAACTTCAATGAAGTAATACTAACAAATTGGTATCAGAGCCTTTGTTCTAAAAAAAAATTGAAAATTTTCCAATTAAGAAGTGTTCTAAAATGTTTTTCTACGAGCTGATGTCGGTTTTCTAAATACTCTTCAATAAAAAGAAACCTAGGAATAATAAATCGGATAAAGGAATAATAAATCTAGGATCGAGTGAGGTGGTGCGATATAGGCTTATGTGCATATTGCACTCACGTGTTTGACTTTATAGAATATAGTATATAAAGGTCTTAAGAGAATTTAAGATATATGCTTTAAGATATATGCTTGAGGGACGAAGCATTCTTTTAAGGTAGGTAGAATGTAACACTTCATAATTTTATATAGTAGAAATTGGATAATAGTTTATGCTTCGGGGACGAAGCATTCTTTTAAGGGAGGTAGAATGTGACACTCCGTAAATTTAATACTAATAAAGATACGGAATTTGTTAATTGCATTTGTAGGTATTTTTCATAACTTATGTTTCGGGACGAAACATCTTTTAAGGGGGATAGAATGTGATACCCTGAAAATTTAAACAAAAATAACCAAAAATAAATAAATAAATAAAAAGATTAAATAAAATAAAAGACACCAGATAAAATATATCTGACAGAGAAAATAAATTGATTAAAGTGTTATAAGTGATACTAGTATTTTGTAACAAGTGATAAATATACATAAAAAAAAACAACATCTCACCCATTTTAATTTAGAGGTATGTGTACAAAAATAAATGTTAAAAGAGTTGACTTTTCAAGCCTAATTAATATAAATATACATAATACGGCGTATGAATAATAGAGCCGCATTAACAATAGTATACGTACATAGCAATAATATAGCAATAAGATAACATAGTACAGTGATAATATATTATCATGCTACAAGGATCACCAACACATTCACATGGCTGCCATACCAAAGTCACATGCATACGCATGCATCTTGCATGTCAAAGTTGATGCCAAATATTTCCTAGCTAGCATTATCGAACTACTAAAACCACATAAACTGTATGATTAAATAGCAGTAGACCGTCCAACCAACGCTTCACCAACTAAGGATAAACTTCAGTTATATACACATAGACATACCACATATATATCAAAAACTAGTTCCAAAAACCGCCTTCAAACCTTCGGCCGGTGAAGCAAGAAGAGCGAAAGAGAGACTAAGAGTGAGTTGATCATCACCGGAGGAAGCAAGACTGTCGAAGACCGGACTTACGACCGAGCACACCTTGATGCCGGGTTCCTTCGTTGGACGTCTGGCTCGCCGCTGCAGAAGTGGGAAAGAAGCCGGAGAGCTGGCCTACGTTGCACCTGTACCGACTGTGTGAGGGAGAAGAGAGCTCGATCGGTACATTCTCTTAGTTTGTTTTGTCTAATAAATTACTAATGAGCTGATTAAATAGATTAATTGGTATAAACGATTAATTGAGAATAAGGATATAAATTTAATATAAGTGGGTAACGTACGTGTTTAATCATGAAGAGCTAAACTTAAATCGTAAATTGGATAATAATTAGGCATGTTAATAATAATATACTCCGTATAAGGGAGAAATCGGATAAGTTATTGAGAATAAAATAAGTGACTGATTATAGCATCTTAATTAAAAAGGTGATTATTTAGAGACAAGAATAGAAGAGGAGAACTAGGAGCTTCAGAGTTAAGGTAAGTTTCTCTGCCGATCCAAAATGGTTTCCTCGTATTATATATGTTATTACGTGACTAAAGTGTGAATTTTGAATACGTATTATTTGAAGTGTCATTACATTTATAGTATTTGAGAAAGTTGAGATATGGGATATTAAATTAAGTATTTTTAAACACCATTGAGAATGATTGGAGACTTGAGAAATATTCTGTGTTATGTGATTATTATGTGTTATGTGATTATGTTGTGAGTTTTTGAATTATTTATATGTGCTATTTAAAGAGATATTAAATCTATAGTATTTGAGAAATTCAAATTATGTACTTTTGGGGTATTAAATATTTTTAAATACCTTTTTGACTATTTAGGGAGTTTGGAAATATTTTGAAGTATATCTTGATACAAGATGAAAATTAACATTTTCATAAGAGGTGAGCACCCCGGGAGAAATCCGTGGTGTCGGTTTTTCACATCCGGATAAATGTGGAGGATTGTTAGGGCTACTACTACTTGAAGAGAACAAGTTTAGTAGTCGTTTCGATTCAAGAGATAGTGATGGGAACCGGATTCCGGGATGAGTTCGTAAATAACAAACGACTCATTGGGCTTCGGGCATAAGTATCCGAAAGTACCGCTCATCTTAAAAGAAAGTAGGAGATTTTGATTTTGGAAAGAGGAAGACTATGGAAGAGTTACTATAGTATTTTCAAAGAAAAGTTGAGGACTTTATTAAAGAAGTGATTTTGAGAAATATCAAAGAGAAAAGAATTTTGGTGGAGTGTGTCATTTTTATATAGTATTATATGAAAAACTATTTTTAGTCAAACCTGATTATTTTACGGGGTTGGGTAGTACTTACTTAGCTCTAAAGCTAATTTTTGTTTCCTTTTCTTTGTTTTGTTTTCTGCACTTTATTTGTGCAGGTGATGATGCTTATGTGGACTGTTGATTGTATGACCACGAGAGCGGTTTAGAGATGCCTTAGTCAAACCTAGTTAAGAATAAACATTTCAGTTATATTGAACATTTGTTTTACTCTGTATTATTTTGGGATAGCCTGTGCATCCGGTTAAGAGATGACCGGATGTGGCGGTAACACCCATTTCCCAATAAAGACTTCCGCTGTATTTCTGATATTTTCAAATGAAATTGATAACTCCTTTGAAATAAACATTATTTAAATGTATTATTTTGGGAGGGAAATTGGGGGTGTTACATTAGCAACTTGGGTGCTAGGCCTTACAGAAAGTTCACCAGACTTGGGTTCAACATATCCAAGACCAGAAGTGAGGTTATGAGAATTACTAACATTTTTCATAGAAGATTGCATCTTCAGAAGACTGTTATACCTGTTCTCAAGTTCCCCAATTTCCCCTATCCTTTTCAGAAGAGACTCATTTTCAGCTTTCAGCTTGTTTCTTTCCTCAGTTAAGAGATTAAGTTTGCACTCAGTCTCTTTTCTTAAGTCAGAGATGCCAAGCTTTAGCTTACTGTTCTCTTCTTTGACAGAGGAATAAGTGGCTTGGATAGCTTTAAACTCTTCCCAAAATGATGACATTGGATCATCATTTAAGGCTGTGCCTACCGACGAAGAAATAAAATCAGCGGTAGAGCATACCTCATCATCAGATTGTGCCATGAGGCAGAGATTCTCGGTTTCTGTATCTAGGCAGCAGAATGCCTCATCAGAGTCAGACTCAGAACTGGACTCTGATTCAGAGAGGGGATCTCTTTCAACTTGTTCAGAGACGAATGCCTTCCGTCTTCTGTGTTGATCTTCCTGTTTACGTACTTCTCCTTCTTGTCCTTGCTTCTTTGACACTCTAGGAAAGGGGCAGTTGGCTTTGAAATGGCCTGGCTGTCTGCAATTGTAGCAGAGGTACTCTCCATTGCTTTCAGAAGACTTGGTCTTCTGTGGAGTTCTTCTGCTATAGGATGAGGTCCTTCCATCCTTCTTCATGAATTTCCTAAATTTTCTGGCAAAGGCAGCCATATATTCATCAGATAATAAGGTAGAAGGATCAAAGTCTTTTACCTTGGAAGTGCTGGCTGTGAGAGCAGTAGTGGTTCTCTCATCTGGCACTTCTTCTTTTTCATCATCATGCATCTCGAACTCATAAGCCTTGAGATCAGAGATCAGTCTTTCTGTGGGGTAGGTCTTGATGTTCTTGCTTTCTTGGACTGGAATCACCTTCATCTTCCAAGTTGGGGGCAGTCCTCTCAGAACCTTCATGTTGACCTCTTTGATTGTGAGCTCCTTGCCAAGCTCAGAAATTTCGCTGATGAGGATCAGCAGTCTCTCATGCATCTTAGCAATGCACTCTTCTGGCAGAAGTTTGAAGTCATCAAACTTCTTCATTGCTATGGTCATCTTGTTGTCTCTTTCTTGTTCATCCCCAGCACCTATCTCATCAAGCTTGTCCCAGATTTCCTTTGCAGTTCTGCACTTCTTGATTCCGTTGAAGTACCTTTCATCAATGGCCTTGTAAAGAATGTCCTTGGCTATGTTGTCAAGGTTGTATTGTCTCTTTTCTTCCTTGGTCCATTCAGACTTGGCCTTCTCAATCATCTGGGGTTGAGAGTTATCAGTAGAGTGTGCAGGGTTGACCTTCATGAACTGAATAAAGGGGCCTTTCTCCAAAACTTCCCACATTTCATCATGAAGAGCACATAGGTGTGCCTTCATCCTGATCTTCCAATCATCATACTTCTGATCTGTGAACATGAGATGCTTTGCAAGAGAGTTATCCATAGTAACAAATAAGAGAGGCTAAGAACAAGTGGATCTTTGTTCAGGGAGTAACCTAAAAGATTACAGGAACAAGGAGGCTCTAATACCACTTGTTGGTCCCGTTTAAGATGGTAATCTGTCTAGAGGGGGGGGGGGGGGGGTGAATAGACTGAGTGATTTTTCAAACTTTTCTCTAAGTCCAAACTGACTTATCAGAGAATGTCGGATTCTGGTAACAGAGAGGGTCGAGTTCTGATGGCAGAACTGGCCTTGGCAGCGGATTAAGTTCTGTCCGGGTAGCCTAAAAAATACAAAGGCAAATGCCTTTCTGATAACTCTGAAAACAAGATCTGCTGAACACAGATTCCAAGTTTTAGAGTCAATCAGTTTAGTCCTAAGTGCAGAAATTAAAGTGCAGTAAAGTAAATGACACCGGGGTTTTTATAGTGGTTCAAGGAACAACGCGTTCCTCTAGTCCACTGTTTCACTAAGTTGTAAAGCGTCAATTACAAAGCCTTAGTTCCCTAGCACTTAAGAAGCTCTCCACGTCTTCTTCAAGCCTAGTTGCCACCCAGGATGCAGTTCCACGTCCTGATGGCTGGTCCTTTCACTCAGCTTCCCGGAAGTATCACCACTTCACTACTGCAGTTACTTGGACGCCTTTCTTTGCAGAAGATGTTCTGAAAAATAATGTTTTCTCCAACTTGCTTCGTTGCAACAGATGTGTAGTTGAAGTTCTTGAAGGTTGAAGAACAGGATGAACTTTGCTCTTGTTGGGGTTGAGAGATTTTGAGAGTTTGAATCTTCCCAACGTAAGCATTTTCTTGTTGATGTTTAAGGAGTTTGAATCTCAAGAATGCTTGTATAATGATGAGAGCAAGAGTTTTTGCAAAGTTATCCAGTTGTTCTTCATTGAGTATCTTTTATACTGGGGTTGTCTACCCGTTGGAAGAGGAGACAACTGCATTGAATGCGCATACTGTGGAGTTGACCGGTTGGACCCGCAGATTTGGTAGCTTTCTATTTTTGTATAATATTCTCCAGGAATCTCGGTCAATCATCTGCAATAACTCCACAGCGTATCAGGCTCATTAAATGAGCATTAAATGCTTTCCTTTCACGTCCAGTCTTTTAGCCGTTAGGGAATTTCCCGTTAGTTTAACTGACGTTGAAAGCAGCCTTGAAATTCTTCTAAGTGTTAGTCGGGCTCTGATCGTGCTCTTCTAATAGGTTGGGTTCCGATGGCTTTCTGATAAGCAGCTCTGAAGAGCAACTCTGATGCTTCTCACAAGTTGAATTCTGATGGGGCTTTTTCATCGAACTCTGATGGCTTTCTGATGTAGACTTCTGATGAGTCTTCTGAAGAGCAACTCTTATGACTTCCGAGAGCGACTCCGAAAGCAGTTCTCATATAGCAACTCTGATCAGATCCACTTAGCAACTCTGATGTCGATTATACTAATACTTACAACGGAAAAAGTCTAATACATAAAATCTAATAGGGGTACTCTAACATTCTAAATAACCTAGCATCATCAAAATCTAATTACATTTATTCCTTACACAATCACCATGGTATATCTCACTTTACCACACCACCCCACACCCCCGAACATAATGGTATTGCTGAACGTCGGCATAGACATATTGTTGATACCGGTCTTACATTACTCCACTATTCCGGTCTTCCTAACGTGTATTGGCCATATGCGTTTCAAACAGTAGTATATCTTATTAATCGTCTTCCTAACTCCGCCCTTAATTACTCTACACCATACTCCCGATTATATAAACTCAACCCAATTATCATAAGTTACAACCATTTGGGTGCTTGTGTTATCCGTGGCTTCGTCCATATTCCTTGTCTAAAATAAATGCTCGCTCCCTACCTTGTGTTTTTATTGGCTATTCCCTTTCTCAATCAGCTTATTTATGTCTTGACCCAGGCACCAATCGAGTGTACACCAGTCGCCATGTACGTTTTATTCCTGATATTTTCCCATTTCGTAACTCAACCTCTATGCCCGCGTCCAACCCGTCTCTCACGCCTACATGCATGCAGTTGCCTCCTGTGGTCCCCTCTCCCTTAAATAATTCCTCCTCACCATCAACAAACTCCACTAATCCAAATAATACTCATCCTTATCCCCTAACGTACCCACCTGTCCAGCCACCTCCTGTTATTCCCCAAGCCTCATCTCCTAATAATTCTAACCCACCCATACCACCCTTGTCTCTATCTACCCACCAACAGCCTCCACATATCTCTCCTCCACCTCCACCCACTAATGAGTGTCCACCTATTCACCCAACACCCAACTCAACTATGACACGGACTGACACAACTTCCCCCCATAACTCCTCGACCCCACCTACATCACACAACCCACCGATTTCACAGAATCCCCCCAACTGACCCACTCGAGTAAGAGTTCCCAATCCCAAGTACATAGGTGGACTCTTCCTCAATCTTACCACAAAACACCCTATTACTCCAATCCTGGAACCAACCAGTGTGAAACAGGCATTGTCTGATCCAAGGTGGACTGCTGCCATGAAAGAGGAAATGCAAGCCCTCCGTCGCAATCAAACATGGAGCCTGGTTCCCCCCACTAGTCACACTCCCATAACGTGTAAATGGCTATTCCGTATTAAGAGAAATGCGGATGGCAGCATCTCCGTTTTAAAGCCCGGCTGGTGGCCCGCGGATTCTTACAAGAGCCTGGACGTGACTATTCTGAAACATTCAGTCCCGTCACCAAACCAGCTACCATCCGTATTATACTGTCTATTGCACTGGCCCGAAATTGGTCACTCCGGCAACTTGACGTGAATAATGCATTTTTACACGGGACCCTTACGGAGGAAGTGTATATGGCCCAGCCACCTGGATTTCGGGACCCTCAGTTTCCTACACATGTCTGTAAGCTCCATAAGGCATTGTATGGCCTCAAACAGGCCCCGCGCGCCTGGTATATGGAACTTTGCCGATTTCTTCTCTCTAATGGCATACTCATCTATTTTCTTGTCTATGTTGATGATATTGTTATTACAGGAAATAATTCTACTGCAATTGAGGCATTTGTTCGTCAACTTACTCACACATTCTCAGTTAAAGATCTTGGCATACTACATGACTTTCTTGGGATAGAAGTGGTTCCCACTCCAAATGGTATTTTTTGACACAACGTCAATACATCCTCAACATTCTGGAGACATGTCACATGCATGGTTCCAAGGAGGCAGTCACTCCAATGTGTACCAAACCATCACTCACCCTCATCGATGGCACACCTCCTGTCGATGCAACACAGTACAGATGAACTCTTGGCCTCTTGCAATATTTATCCTTCACCCGGCCAGATATTTCTTTTGCTGTTAACCAGCTATCTCAGTATATGCATGCTCCGACCGAGACTCACTGGCAAGGCGTGAAAAGAATATTGCGGTATCTTAAAGGGACGTTGAATCATGGGTTATTTCTTAATCGGTCTACACCCTTAACTCTCTCGGTCTTTTCTGATTCAGACTGGGGTGGGGTGACTGATGGGGGACTATCGACTACAGCCTATGTACTTTATTTAGGTGGCAATATTATTTCTTGGAAGTCAGCAAAGCAAAAAACCGTATCCCGATCATCTACCGAAGCTGAGTACAAGGCTATTGCAAATGCAAGTGCAGAGATGTTATGGGTCCGCAGTCTACTCACTGAATTGGGAATTTCACTAGTATCCACACCCCAACTTTTCTGTGATAATCAAGGAGCTACCTACGTGTGCAGTAACCCTGTTTTTCATTCTCGGATGAAACATTTTGCATTGGACTTCTTTTTTGTCCGCGAATTAGTGGAGCATGGTCAACTAATAGTCAAACACATCTCCACTAAACATCAAATTGCTGATATTCTCACCAAACCGCTTGGGAAAGCACCATTTCAGTTGTTCCGGTCCAAGCTAGGAGTCTCCAACGGATCCTCTATCTTGCGGGGGCGTATTGAATGATAATATTATTAATTAATTATTCTTTGTAATTATCCGATACGAATGCATACATACTGATAGGCTTTATCCCCATACATTGGGTGAGTTAGTTACCAGATCTTATCACTCAAGTGTGAGCCTATATAAATCCTTGTACGTACATCAAGTTATACAGATCAATAATATACTTTGCATACACTTCTTCATAAGATACCTATTAAACGTATATAAGTCATTTAAACGGCGCCTGTGTTATCTAAACCCTCCACGTCTGTAAACGTTTACATTACCAAATATTAGCCAAACAGATCTAAACTATTATAGCATACCTAGCTCTAATAGCTATATAGACACAATCTCTATCATTTTGTTATACTTTGTACCATATTATTGAATACATTTAATGGTTTCGCACTTTTAGGTATATGTTTTAAAATCTGATGAGACTCCATTGTCAGTGTACACACAATCAATAGATATCCGGCGCGCCTGAAGATATCTTGTATAACAAAATATCAATTTTCTGTTTAATTTGGGAATAAAATCTAATTTTCAATATTTGGGCGAATGATATTTCTGGCCATATTCTTCAGAGATGGAATAGAACGATTGAGTAAATATCTCATATTTTACTGTGTGTTCTTCCTTTTAAAACGTAATATATCTCTTTGGAAATCCTTTTAGACAAAATAACTTATGAGTGTTATTTTGGAGTATGTGTAGTTCTTTTATGATATTAGTAACTCAGAATTGTCTTTCCAAAGAAATATATTACGTTTTAAAAGGAAGAACACACAGTAAGATATGAGATAGTCACATTTTCGGTTAATCTCTAAGGTGTTATATTCGAAATATATCGTGAAAAGTATTCTTCCGTTTAAAACGTATGATTCACAGCAACAGTTTATGTAATTTGTGAATTATCTTCCAAAATAATAGGCAATCATTATAATATGTTATTCAAGATTAACCATAAATTTAGAGCTCGATAAGACCTTTCCAACGAGATAGAAAACATCTTCAACGGGATAATCCCCGTTTAGATTTATGGTTAATCTTTACCTTTTACTTAATGCATTGTAATTGAAGTTGGAACAAAAGCTTAAGTCTAAATCATAGAGATTAGGCCAAGTATTTGTGATATTCATATCTTGATGTGTGTTCTTCCGTTTAAAACGTATTATATCTCTTTGGAAAGACAATTTTGAGTTCTAAAGGTTTTGACTAAAACGAATAAAGTATTGACCGGCTGTCCAATTTAATTAACTAGTTTCAAAGAGAACACAAATACGATGAAAGGTTTATTTCAGATAATGGAAGTAAAGTCTTTTAAATACTCCTAAACGTCGAGTTATACTCAAGCTGAAATACCACAATTTTTAGACGGTAATTGTGTTCTCACAACGTCGAGTGTCCCGGTTTTTAGGGTTATTCACAACGTGGAATGCATAATTTCTGGAATAGCTATTACATATATTCATGTTAAGATATGAATTGTCCTATAGCGGTTACCGTTTTGACACTTCAAGATATGTAATCAATTTTTAAGACCTTGACTATGTAAATTATAAAGTGGTATAATTTGCCTCAATTGAACTATAAAAGTGAATGGGGGGACTTAACATCAAATCCGAACATATTTGTAATTGCTAAGTTGGAACAATTTTGAACTATTTGGTTCTCCATCTGTGATTCATCTATTCCGAAATTAAATCGGATATTAATCATACAAAACAAATGAAACAACGTGCTTGGTAGTTCATCTAAAGATCTTAATAATTGTGATATCTGTAAACCATTTTGTGATAGAGCTTTAATAGCGTTTTGATACGTTTTAAACGATAATACCATTAATATGGAACAAAAGCTAGGCTTCGTTTGGATTTCGGCGTTTCGGCGTTTCGGCCCGAAATCAGCGTATTTGACTGCTTTGGCGTTTCGCAGAACTCAAACCTCTGTTTTTATCCCGTTTGGCAAATAGAGTTTATCATCGGCATTTAGGATGAAACCGCCAAAACTAAAAACGCTACAAATAGGAGCGTTTAGGTTTTGGCGGATTGAAGCAATTATTAAATTCCATCGATTACCCTCTCATCTTCGTATTCTGTTTTGCTCCCGCCACATGAAGGTCTACGGTTTCTTTGGTTTGACGTTCGTTGCCTGCCTTCTGTAGTTTCTTTGTTGTACAAGCAGGATGCAGAAAAAGGCCTTTAGATTTTTCTCAAAGGTACGTATATATTGATCCTTCATCTATTGGATCTTTGTTTTGACTTTTGATTTATACAAGTATTGGTATTTATAAATACGTAGCTATGTAATACTCCTACTCTGTAGATTTACAAATTTTCAAGTTATTTATCCTTCTGCAGTCTTCATTATTCTAAAAATCATGACCACATATCACACCACTGCACTGTAGCTTCACTTCATATGATCATACTCCGTATGTTTTTATAGAGGATTATCATACTACGAGTATTATTTATTAATTAGTTAATTTTAAAATTATTATAGTCCTAAGCTCATACGTACGTAGTACGATAGTATTAAACAGAAAACGCATGCTTAAATTTTATAATGTCCTTTTTGGTCTTTTTATCTGCTAACTGCTACAACTAAACAACTAATTTACCAAACAACCTTTTTCAACCCGCCAAACTAATCCGCTGGTCAAATCCGCTGATCAAATCCGCTATTTACTACCCGCTAATATAATCCGCCAATCGTTAATCGCTAACCGCTGATTGCCAAACAGGCCCATAATCAATTTAAGTCACGTCTATTTAAGTATTACTGCAACAAATAATCGTACGAAATGGATAGACTAATGAGGTGTAAACTTCGAAACATTTGTTACTCAATAGGGTAGATAAATTGCGCCGGTATATGAAGTGTGTATATAATTATACACACTGTAAGTCATCTGTGTAAACGGCTCTATATAGATCAATTAAGTATGATATTTTGTGTTACCCAAATGAAATTAATGTGTTCCAAGGATTTAATCTAATTTAAAGTTACTCATATCTATTTGTCCCTAAACCCTAAACCCCTCATATTATCTAATAATATGAAATCTGAACACAAAATTGCATGACTGCCTATTTAGCGTAAAAATCTTAATATTGTCTAAACAGATATTGTGAACTCCGAACTCGTTTAGAATTTGATCCGATCATATCTTTCCTGTTTTACAAAATAGGCAATCATTCCTTGATATTTCGAAACCGGCGCCTGAAGATATGAGGGGCTAAACAGAACACCACGAAATATCAAAACGGTATATGATATAAAGCTATGGTTAATGTTTGGAACAAATAGAGCCGCTATTACGTATGAGTATTGTATTCTCTTCATTAATTCTGTTTTAATACGTTTAGGTGAGGAGTGGTCTCAACCGCTTTATATTCCGAACTCGTTTAGAATTTGATCCGATTATATCTTGCTCTGTTTCGTTCCGTTGAAGAACTCATATAAATATATTTCGTATATGGGAGAAAACATTAATAAAAGATCACGGTTAAGACTTGCTGGATATGAAAAGTTGTGATAAAAGAGCACAACTTAGAGATATGATAGGGGGAATATCGTTTACAGGCGATATCATCAAGTAAAAAGTATGTTTAAGCAGGGATAAATGTGAATAGATTTAAAAGCAATATAATATCCCTTATGGTGTATTTTGAGCGCCATGTTTGTGAGCTATCTCGTTGGAAAGATCAAAATGTAATAGTTTGTTAATATCTCTTAACAAACATATTGATTTATAATAAAGCAATTTCTTAGAAATATTGTGTAATCTACAATTATCCAAAGCACAAAGCTGATCGGCATTATTACGGTAGTATGGTTAAAAGACGTTATAATACCCAATATGTCATAACAGAGCATAACATATCGTTTTAAACGCCAGTATGATTATTGAAAGTGTCACAATGCAAGGTCAGAAAGTGCAAAGTCTGCAACTACATCAGTTCCCGGGCGGTGTCCATACCCTTATATGCCCAGGTTTAGATCAATTCCGTTATAGATTCGCCTTTCTAGAATCCCGTGAAAATCATACCTGCTTTTAATTTTCGAAAACATAAATATTAATACCTTTGGTTAAAGAATATCAAATCCTCTTAAACCAAACTTATAAGTTCATCCTTTGTGCCGGTCAAACATTAATATGCAAGTGTATTTCTGTGCAACCTCCTATATGGGTTTGTTTATACAGAGATTAAGGTAATCTAAAATCGAATTATGGTGGGAATCAAACAAATCAAGAATCAATAATGGAGAACTGATATTGGAAAGGAACAGAATAATATATTATTTGGCTTCTGTTAGCCGAGAGCTTTTAGTACAGAGTGCTTTTCGATACAAGAATATTGCAAGTGTATTTGATCTCAATTGATCGTGTGTTTCTCAGAGATTACAGCTAATCTATTTATTTGAATAGGGTTTTCGTTCTCCCCAAGTTGAGGAACCACCTCCTATTTCTTCTCCACGTGCTGCGACTCTCGTTATTTGAACTATTCCACGTTCTTATCCTTATTTTGAATCCTTAGAGCTGAATGATGGACTCTTCTTGGACTTACGTTCTACTTAACGAGTTTAGTGGGCTTCAATCCGTAACCTTAATATATCTCGGGTCCAACATTTGCCCCCAAATTTATAATGTTGGCGAATTTGACGCGCGGTGTGAGCCATCATTATGAATTTTGAATTCTACTGGAACACTCAACCGACCTCCCACTGCCCGAGGAACTGCCTCGTCTATATCAAATCAACAAACCCTTCCATCGTTTCTCTTCCATCATCACCTCTCTGACTTTCTCTGGTTCTTCACCGGACTTTGCGCTAATCTTATTCATGGAGCTCACCGTCTTCAAAAGCCAAGACGTTTTCGAGACCAAGAACCTCCGAGCAGCCGACTTGCGAGCTAAAGATTTAGAAGAAATTAGGTCCTCCTATGGATTCCCTCCTTCGGCTCGAATCCGGTTCCCAGCACGAGGAGAACGAGTAGATTGGGTCTCCCCGGGATGGCTCAACTTCTATCAATACCCGTTCGAAAAGCTCGGAGTCCGCTTTCCTTTCTCTGATCTAGTAAGGGGCTTCATTGTCCGTGCCCAAATCTCTCCCTGTCAAATTATGCCCCAAGCCTGGCGGCTTCTCCGTTCTCTGGAGTATCTGATTGAGAAGCATAACCTTCAATACTCAGCGGAAGATATTAGTTTCTCATACGATCTGAGGACCTCTGGGAGAGGACGATTCACTCTAGTAACGAAGGCCAGGGCTGACCCTATCATTTTGGGGATAGGCAGCGCCAATGACCGAGGCTGGATCACCAAATTTTTCTTTGTGGAGAAGGCGTCCCTTGGAGAATGTGTGAATTCGTTCCCTGACCGATTGAGGGTTGTTGGCGAGCACTGTATGTACCCTGCCCTGTGTGTACGTTGTATTTTATTTCTTATGAAAATTTCTTTACCGTTTTGTTACCTGTCGTCGTGTGTCTTTCTGTTGTTTTCTCCACTTCTATAGTGGGTGAAGCAAAGGTAGATGAAAAGAAGGAAAAGAAGAAAGGGAAGGATGGGGAAAAAGAAGGGAAAACAGTTCCAATGGAATTTGGCCCGCACTCCGAAGAAAGAACCACTGCATTTCTAGCTTTATCTCCTGAAGTCCGTCTGTACTCAAACCTCAAAAAAGAATTTAGAGGTATGGCTACTTATTCCTCCTCCGTCAGTCCAATTCGTGGGGGGCTAAGACGTTCTGTCCGGAATATATCTAAATCTCTTAGTTTATGTCAAGATGCTTCAGTTGTATCAGTTGATAGCACTGAGAACATTGAAGATGACACTGAAAGTGCCACTGCTACTGATGGTGTGTCCATTACCGCTGTCATGACGGATTATACATCTGAGGCACGCAAAGGTAGTTACTCAAGACCGGTTATGGGTATGCGCTTTAGCCCGGATTTCTATATTGTCCATGCTTCTATTTACTTAATCCTCGACGTAAGATCTTACTGCCCCTGTGCTCTTCAGGTACCTCCTCTTCTTCTGGAATTCGCAAAGCCTTGGACACTGCTGAGCTCCTGAATCTGATGTCTAAGAAGAAGAAAATGTCGCCCCCACTTCCTCCAATTACTAGTTCTGCTGCCATGACGACTTGCTCGCTTCCTGCTCCCGTTTCAAGCGCAAGCGCTGATTTGAAAAAGACGACTCTCATAGCCGATTTTTCTGCCAACTTCTGCCGGCTGGATAATGCTTTAGAGATGAAGAAAGAAGTGACACAGTTGTTGCTCCCTTCTGCGGTTGACGCTTTTGCTGGTTTCAGCGATGTGGATATTTTGGCAGCTTCTTCTGCATTTGCATTTCAGGTTCCTTCTCAATAAAACTAGCGGTTTTATGATTTTGGAACCTTTATCTTATGGTTGAAGCACTCTATCACAGGTGGTGCAGGCTAATCTGGTGGCAGCTAAACGCGTGCAGTTTCTAACTGATGAATTGCAGAAATCCAAAAGGCGGGAAGAGGAAGTGAAAAAGACGTTTACCGAAGTTGCCTCTTCTAAGCTGGAACTGGAGGGGAGGATAGTATCCCAAGCACGCATGATCGAGAGCTTGTCTGACAGATTGAAAGGCAAAGACGCCAGGATTGCATCTTTAGAAGAATACGGCAAGAAAAAGAGACAGGAAGTTGTCCAAGCAGCCGGTTACTACACTTGGCTAACTAGGAAGGATCTAATGAAATCGTTTTTAGCTGGCGAGTCGAGCAACTGGAATCCTCAGCAGGACATAGATACTTGGGATGCAAACTTTGCTGATGAAGAACCTCCTGTTGGGGATGACGACTTTGATTTAGGACCTTACAACGCCGAGGCGGAGTCAGCTCCTAGGTCTTAATTCTTTTCTGCTATGCTCAAACTATCGTTATCATGTTTTAAGTATCTTTTGTTTCGTCCAGACATCTTTTCCTTGCCAGTCTTTAGTGCCAACCACATCGCCCGGTGGTTTATCCGGTGGTTCGGTGAATTGAACACTTGACTACTCACACAAGTATCTGGTGGTTTATCCAGGACTTGTTTCTTTTGCCACTATGCTGTGAATGGAATATTTGTGCAAGAAATATTTTTCTTTTTATGTGCAAATTGATGTAGTCGTTCGTGGCCAGTGTTTGTCTAACTTTTTGATGTTGTTAGTCTGTAGAATGTGGTAATGTATTCAGTTTCTCGTTTTGAGTGTTGTGTGACTTTGTGATGTATGTTGTATGTTTGTTTCGGGTTTTATCTGACTTTATGATTTTGTCAGTATGCCCAATGTACGTTGTATGTTGTTTTGGCCAAAACGTGTAAGGTACATGGACTCGGTATTCATATTTTCCATATGACGAACCCATGCGGTCCTTGACGTCCCTTATTGATGTAGTTAAGGGCTGTGTTAAGAGAAAACTATGTGAGCTGATTGATATCCTCAGTCACTAGTGTTCGTCATCACGCTCAAGTATGTATTTAATCATGTTGTCGGGACCTGTCTGTTGGCTTGAAGATAACAGCCTCTGATGCTAAAGTCAATATTTGTGAATTAAAAGATTTGTATTGAGCGGTTGGTTCTCTGTCCTTGTGAACTTATTTAGCGAAATGTATGCCAGTTCAACTTAATGCCTTAAAGGGGTCATGTGCTTTGCACCAGTCAAAGTGAAAATAGCAACGTGGGGAATGAGCAAATTGTCATCGCATACCTTGACTGTGTCTTTATCATTTGCTTCTTTTTTACTTACCTGCACCAGTCAGAAAATCTTGGTTGATCTAGTGTTATTAGTCTGAGATTATTTGACGTCGTCATCCACCACTTTGTTTCATCTTGTCTTCCAATTGGCAGTGTGAAACCTTCAGTCTGTAAATCAAACATAAATTATGCTAAGGGCTGGCCGTTGGCTTGAAGCCAACGGCCCTCCGATGCTAAAGTCAGTAGGTGTATATTACCTCCAATAAGTCAGACGTATTTCCACTTGTCAAGACGAATGAAGGAACTGAGATGAGAATCACGAAGAACTAAATTAATTTTGCGTACCTTAACTCGACTGAATTAATGTTGTCATCAGAAACCTATATGATGCAGTCTAATAGGACTTAGCTCGATGTTGGCGATCTGTAATTTAGTCAAACACTTTGCTGGCCGTTAGCTTGAAGCCAACGGCCCTCCGACGGTCTAGTTAGTAAAAGGCTCAAAAAGTATAGGATGAACATTTCAATAGAAAATTACATTAGAAATGGAAAAGTTTTAAGTGTACCGTATTCCAGCTCCTTGGAATTTGTTTACCGTCGGTGCTTGTCAGACGATATGCCCCCTGTCCGACGACATCTGTAATTTGGTATGGGCCTTCCCAGTTGGGACTGAATTTTCCGTTTGCTTCGTTGCCAAAGGACTTTCGGAGTACCCAATCGCCTTTCTTGAAGGCTTTGACTCGGACATCTTTGTTGTAGCTTCTCGCCACCCTTTGTTGATAGGCCGCCATTTGGATCTTAGCTTTTTCCCTCAATTCATCGATGGTGTCAAGATCATGAATAAATTCGGTGTTGTTTGTTTCTTCTGTGATAAGTCCATATCTGGATGTTGGCACCTCAACTTCAACTGGAATGACAGCTTCGCATCCGTACACCAATGAAAAAGGCGTCTGTCCTGTGGCATTTTTTGGTGTCGTTCGATCTGCCCATAATATGAGTGGCAATTCTTCGGCCCATCTTCCTTGTGCCTTCTCCAATCTCTTCTTCAGATTTGAAATGATAATTTTGTTGCTGGACTCGGCCTGTCCATTTGACTGTGGATAGCGGGGCGTCGACATCTCCAGTTTGATGTTGTACTTTTCACAAAATCGTCTGGTTTTGATGCTGATGAATTGTGATCCGTTGTCGCAGACGATTTCTGACGGGATTCTGAACCTGCTTAATATATTTCTTTTAATGAAAGATATTACCTGGGTGTCGCGGATTTGTCGAAAAGGCTCAGCCTCGATCCACTTTGAGAAGTAGTCCGTCATTGCCAACATATAGACTTTCTGTCCTGGTGCTTCGGGCAGCTTTCCTACGATGTCCATACCCCATTTCATGAAGGGCCATGGGGACAGGACAGGATGTAGTGCTTCTGCATGTTGGTGGTGTACTGGTGCATGTCTTTGGCATGGTTGGCAAGCTTGAGTGTATGCGACAGCATCATGTCTCATCGTTGGCCAATAATAACCAAACCTCAGGGCTTTGTTGGACAGACTTCTTCCTGCTGCGTGGTTGCCGCACTCTCCTTCATGGAGGCTTTCAAGTACTTTGACAACTTCGGATGGGGCTAAACACCTTTGATATGGTCCTGCCTTTGAACGTTTACACAAGACATCATCAATTAATAAAAATTTTGTTACCTTTGATAGGAGTGCCCTTGCTTCTCTTTTGTCAGTTGGTATGATGTCATGTTTGAGATAGTCTATATATGGCTGCATCCAGTTGCTGTCCATGGTTGATGTAATGACGTTGAGCATCTCTGTTCGTTCGATAGCCGGCTCTGTCAAATGGACAAGTGGGATGTCGTCACTGCTTACCGCTCCGAGACATGACCCTACTGCTGCCAAGGCATCAGCTTGAACATTCTCCTCCCTCGGGATTTGCTCAAAAGTGATGTCGTCAAAATAACTGCTTAAGTTGGTGACGACTTGTAGGTATGCCGTCATCTTCGGGTCTTTAGCTGCATAAACTCCGTTAGTTTGATTAACAATTAAAAGAGAATCGCATTTTACCTCAATTGTTTTTATGCCCAGGTTTCGAGCTAAGTTTAGCCCGAAAATCAGTGCCTCATACTCTGCTTCGTTGTTTGTTGCGTTGAAATCACATCTGACGGCTTGCACTATGTTGCCCCCTTGTGGTGATTTCAGTACAACTCCAAGTCCGGCTCCTTGCATGTTTGAGGCTCCATCGGTGTGCAAAATCCATTTTTGTCGTTGTGGCTCTTCTATCAATAGGCACATCTCCTTTTCAGCTTCTACTTGTAGTTTGGGACTGAAATCCGCCACAAAATCAGCTAGAGCCTGTGATTTCAAAGCCGTCCTGGGCTCATACTTGATGTCGTATGCCCCCAGCTGTATTGACCATTTGATCATTCGACCTGTCAGTTCTGGTTTCCTCATGATCGACTTCATGGGATAGTTAGTTCGAACACAAATAGAATGTGACTCAAAATAAGGACGCAATTTAATTGATGCTGTGACAAGTGCAAGTACTAATTTTTCTAAGAGTGCGTACCTGGCTTCCGGCCCACTTAATGACTTACTTACGTAGTAAACTGGCGTTTGTTGGCCGTCTTCTTCCCGGGTCAAGACTGCACTGACAGCATGCTCCGACACTGCTAGATACATCTGTAGTTCCTCCCCATCTTTAGGCTTCGTCAGTAATGGCGGTGTCGTCATGTACTCCTTCAATTGTTGTAGAGCTTTTTCGTGTTGTCCTGTCCATTCGAATTTTCTATTTTTTCTGAGGACATCATAGAAAAGTCGACATCTGTCTGACGACTTTGATATGAATCTGTTGAGCGCCGCAACTCGTCCCGTCAACCTCTGGACATCTTTGATCGACTTGGGAGATTCAATGTCGAGTATGGCTCGGACCTGCCCCGGGCTAGCTTCTATCCCCCTCTCGCTGACGATATAACCCAAAAATTCTCCTGACGACACTCCAAATGTGCATTTGGCAGGATTCAGTTTTAGGTTGTACTTGTGCAACTTCAGGAATGATACCCGCAGATGATCAATGTGGTCCGATGCTTTTTTGGATTTGACCAACATGTCGTCGATGTAAACCTCCATAGTTTTCCCGAGTTGCTCTTTGAAGACCATCGTCACCAACCTTTGGAAAGTGGCACCTGCATTCTTTAGACCGAATGGCATAACAATATAACAATATGTACCTGTCTCAGTGATGAATGCGGTCTTCTCCTGGTCGTCGGGGTGTAATTGAATCTGATGGTAGCCACTGAAAGCGTCCATGAATGTCAACATCTCATGTCCCGCTGTGGCATCCGCGAGGACGTCGATATGTGGCATTGGAAACATGTCTTTTGGACAAGCCTTGTTCAGATCAGTGAAGTCGACGCACACTCTCCACTTAGGTTTTTTGCCTTTCTGGTGACCCTTCTTTTTCTGCACTACAACAACATTAGCAAGCCAATTAGGGTACTTTACCTCGCGGATCTTACCGGTACGCAGCAGCGTCTCAACTTCCTGATTGATGATGTCATTTCTTTCTCTGGCAAATCGTCGTCTCTTTTGCTGGATTGGCTTATGTAAAGGATTTACATTGAGTTTGTGAGTGATTACTTGTGGATCGATTCCAGTCATGTCGTCGTGACTCCAGGCGAAGACATCTTTATGTTCTCTCAGGAAAGCTACAAGTTCTTCTTCCAACTGAGTCGGCACGTTGCCCCCAATGCGGACGACTCTATCCGGATGGTCTGGATCAATGCTGATGTCTTTGGTAATGTTATCGTCCTCTCCATCCAGAATGAAGTCGCCCTTTGATTGCTATGCAGATGTGGTGGCGGAGACTGTTGGCTTCATCGCTGTTTGGTAGCATGGCTTGGCAGCGACTCTATCACCTTGTATGGATTGCACCCCCCATGGCGTTGGAACCTTAACCACTTGATGGTACGTTGACGGAATCGCTCCCAATTGATGTAGCCAAGGAGTGCCCAGTATCATGTTGTACGCGGGCAGATCTTGGGCGACATCAAACTTTACCTGCAAGTTAAGACCAACAGCATGTACAGGTAAAGATACGCTACCTATTGTCTTACTTGGTTCGCCATTAAACCCAACAAGAGTGGAACCGGAGGTAGTCAGATCTTCTTCTTTGTACCCCATCTGCTTTAGAGTCTTCAAGGTTGTGATGTTGGCGGTGCTGCCATTGTCGACCAGAACTCGTCTCACTTCACAGTTTGCTACCCGAAGTGCGATAACCAAGGTGTCATGATGAACATCA